GAAAATGAGGTTTTAATTTAAAAGTTGCTGAGCACTGAAGAATAGTATTTGTTGATTATTGGAATTTATTCCATATACACCAATCCTATACTTGGAGATATATATATATATATATATATATATATATATATATATAAATTGGTAATATATAAGAACATCATTGTTTTTCAGGTATGGCTTGTAACTAGACTGGATCAGTATGTCATGTAATAGTAATTCAGTAATGCGACCTCTGACCCATGAATTATGTGCATCTTGTACCTTTAAAAAATTAAGACTGTGAGAAACTGATATATTTCTTTTATGAAATTCTTTGATAAATGACTTAGCAGACCTACCAGAATTTACCATTTTTAACATATGCTTCATAGAGTGTAATATTCCTTGGTCTAAGGGATGCACAACATGATAGTAAGTATGCAGTATACACACAATATTCTTGCCCAATATTTCAGCTTGAGGATAGGCTGAAAAATTGTCCAAAATAAGAAAAAATATCATTTTATACTGGGCCATCAGTTGCCAGAAAATTGGTATTCTACCTATAAACTAAAGGCATAAAGTTTGGGGTCATTCTATATTTCTTTAAAAAATACTTTTAAAATGAGATATTTTTGAGCTTTTTTTTAAAGTAAAAGCTAAAATATCAGTAACTACAGTTTATTTGCTTTTATTTTTCAGTTTTTCTCCAGACTCCTTTTGATACCAAAAAGTTCAAATTTGGATTCATCATACATTTTACTGAATTATGAATATTTTGTATGAGAAACCTTATATTTTGCTTTCACCATTAACCCCTTAATGAACTTTTTGAGATTACCAAAATGGCTGGAGATTTGATTCAGGTCAAGGGACTCATGAAAAAAGACCAATATCATTTGAATTTGCAAAGACATGCTATGCCATCAAATATATATGCATAATTGGAAAAAAATTCACCTTTCAACAAGGTAACAACCAAAACACTCTTCTAAATTATATCAAAATTACCTGGAGCCCCAAAAAAGTAACAAAATTTTTCCTGACTCTTCCATTGAATTAGTATGGGATGAACTGGATAGGCGAGTTTAAAGAGAATATCGAAATAGTGAGAGTGAGCTTTTTCAGTGCTTGAAGAATGCCTGGCAAGGTCTGCCATCTATTTTTTTAAACTGTTGGAAAGAATGCCAAGGATTTGTAAAGCAGCAATTAAAGTGGGTGGTGGCTTTATTGATGAAAACAAAATATGATGCTGCTATTGTATGATAGTTTTTCTTTTTTATAGTTAAGTGCTTAATTTTTGTCAAAACAAATATACTGTAGTTACTGAAATTTTATCTTTTACTTTAAAATAAATACAAAAGCATCTCATTTTAAGGTGTTTTTTTTAAAGAAATACATGGTACACCCAAACATTTTGCCTGTAGTGTATATATAAACAATTTATGGATTTTTTTTAATCCAACATTATTTTTTCATCACTATAAACATTATTTTAGTAAGTATACATGTTTCAGTAGACAGTCCCATTGTTTTACAAATAGTGAAATGAAAGTCTACTGACCTAGATCATCAAGAGTCTTATTAAAGGAAATGTACCTCTTGGCAGGGATTGAACCTGCATTCATTTCTTTGGGGAACCATATTTTAGCCAAGCATACCTTTGCTGTTTAGCCATGATAAGTGGTATGTGATTCACACTAGGAAATACCAAAGGTTTTAATTGAATTTAATATCCAGCAGGAACCTTGGTTTTAGAAGAGTTGATCTGTGGTGACTCAATATGTACTAGGATCACCCTAAGAGGGACCAAAGTAAGTTTTGTACTCAATGTCACCTCAGAAAGTTAAAAGACTTAAAAGCTCCAAATGTAGAATTGGGCCTCAAAGAATATTAGTGAGAGCATCAGCACGAACAAAGAAGCGAACCCAGCTGAACTTAAGATATGCACACACAGGACAGTGAATAACAGGATGTTATTTAAATGCCTGACTTACACAGAGAGAGAGAGAAAATTCCTCACTCTCACAGGAAGACTGAATGTTTGAAGAAGGACCTGAAACCACATACCCTTGATTCTGTTGTTGTTAATTTGATAGAGTCCAGAGGTGAATAGACAATTGTTTTACATAGAGAAAATATAATTTCATATTCTTATTAGTCATTGCTTATATATATATATAAGTAAACAATTTCATTAATTATGCCCAAAGCTTGATATGAACTTCAAAATTCATATCTTAGACTTTTAAAAAAATGGTGATGGAAAGGTAAATTTAGATGAGACCATTCATTTAACTATGGAAGATTATCTGAAAATTACGTTTTGTTTAATTTTCAGCACTTTAAAGTTTATAGGTTACAATAAATTAAAGCAATTCAATAAGTTTTAATAAATAGGTAAAAAGGATCAATTCATGTTCTGATTATGCAAAAAAAAAAAAAAATATGAAAATCACAAATGATGTACAATCAAGTTAATAATATGAACAGGTTCAAAGACCTTTATATGTAGAGAGAGAATGGATGAGAAATAACACTACCAATCAGGATGTAAAACTGTTATATGAGTTTCATTTTCTCATGTCCTGTCTTGGAACAATGCACCATGTTTGTTGCAGACATATTCACCAATGTAAACAGCGCACATAAAAAAACAGCGCAAAAAGCTAAACAAACAATAAAAACAAACAAATAACTAATATATATATATATATATATACATGTGTGTATATGTGATGAAAAATAATTCTGTAATGAATTACACTTGTGGAATTTGGTGTATTGACAATTTTTCTTGTAGAGGACAAATTTCTCCAGCAATTTTTTCCATACACCAACCACTACAAATTAAAAAATAAAATAATTCATAGGGAATCTCTTATTCCCTTCCAGAAAAAAATAAAAATAATGGCAATGTTTAAGCTTTGTGCTAGCCAAAAATGATGTGTCAAAAGATTGGTTATTGACACTGCTATTACTGTATACACCTTTGACACCCTTCGCAATGTTTATTTACAAGATTCTAAAAATATATGAAGCAAGTACAATGTGATATTTATTATTTACTGTTTGATAAAGAATTAAACTTGAAAAGAAATCTTTTTATTCAAAAATTTATCAAAAAATTATCAAAATATGTAAACCAACCACAATGTAATATCTATTATTTCCCATTTTATAAATAACTATGAAAACAAATTTTTTATTCGTAATTTTATAAAAATATCAATGAATTATTGTTGTTAATTCTCAAGAATAAAGAAAATATATAAATCCACTTTCATATGTTTGGGTTTTATTAAAATTCTAATCATTGCTTTTAAAACCAATAAACATTGCTGAGGGAGTCAAAAGTGTATACAGTAACAGCGGTGTCAAAGGAATAACTGTCTTTTTGAAACCATTTTCTTCAAGGCACAAAGGTTAAACATTGCCAGAAAAAAACATCTAAATGCAATTTACATACTTTTTAAATTCCAGGTACCACTCAGATTACCAAGCTTTTAAAGACCACAGAGACTTTATTAGCCACCTGTATGAGTGTGCGTATATCTGTATTTCTTTCATGTGTACCTTGGTTTGCAATGTACACAAATGTCCTGGTGCATTTGTCTTTCAGTCATCCACACTCATAGGCAAAGCCTCCGTAGGGAGAATGGTGTAGACATCACAAAGTAACTGCCGGTATGACCTTGTGAAGTAAAGAAGTAATAGACCCCAAAACCATGTCATGAAACACCAGATTGAGGTAAGGAAGAAGCCGTGGTCATATAATTGCCAACCTGAAAAGACAGAAAGAAAATGTAAATAATTGGAGCAGAATCTAAAATAGTTTTGGATGATTTGACATATGTTACGTAAGCTACAGGCTTTTTTCTTTTAATTGCATTTTCCTTCAATATTTAATTTTTCATGGCCTTCCACAGCTTCCTTATCTTTAATATCAGTGAAATCCCATACCTGTTCTTGAGAAAGAAAGTGGAGTGGTTACCTCCTCTATGATTTTGAATACAAAATTTTCCTTTTCCTAGATTGGATGCCCTAACAAGGCTATGAAGCCTCATCTGTCTTACTATTTTACTCTAGTTAGAAAAAGAAGATTATTGTCTTTCCCAGGTGAATGTAACAAATTCGGCCAGAATTTGAACTTGTTCTGGCAATTCGGTTTTGTTGTGCCAATAACTGATATTTATTTTTGTCTACCAATCTGATATTCGAGAAATTTTATTGAAGAAAAATATCTACTGTCCAGGAGGATTTGAACCTGTGTCAATTCTGGCATTTACAAATTTAATTTAAAACAATGTATCCATCTATAATCAATTTTAAGTTTTGAGATTTTGATAATATACAAATGCACCCACTTTCTTTTGATATATAAGATTGTAGAATTCTCTTTTGTCTGTATGTTCTAGAATTGAAATCAGGGTTACCAATGAAGTCATTAAAGTGAAAGTGAAAATTAGCAACAGTATTTTTACAGAGTGGGCTGAAGAAAAAATGTGTTTATTAGTTATTTATTAATGTGGTAATAATTGTAGGAATCCTCTTCTGTTATTAACTTTTTTCCAATGATAACCCAGCTGGAGGGTTCCCATGCAGGTCAGGATGATGAAGGTGTCGTTGTTGTGGGTTGATGAAACTGAAATGAAGAGGGTGAAGTAGAGAGATGACAAATTGGCATTTGATTTTGGTGAGAAATAAATTGACAACTGTCAGTTGGCAATTCTTTGATAATTGGATTGATTGATTGTTTTCTATGACTTATAACCACTTTGCAGGTTATTTAAAGCCAGAAAATATTTTTAGATTTTAAGAAATTTTTTTTTTAGATATTAATGGTTTAGTGATACAAGTTTTATTAATTAAACTATAGCAAGAGGAAAAGAGGTGAATTCAAACCTTTCTCAAGAGTATTTGTGTGTAAGTGAATATAATGAATCCAATGTATATTGGAACTTGGCTCTCCAATTAAAACTTTTGAGCCATTATCCTTTAACCAACTTGCACATCAGAGTTTACAGCACTGGGTATTCATAAGAGATTACCCATCTAAGTACTGACTAGGCTCAATATTGCTTAACTTCAGTGATTGTATGGGAATCAGTGTTTCAATGTAATGTGGCTGTAAGCCTCTTTGTGGATTTGAGAAAGAATATGATATTAGTTGGGAAAAAACATTTTTTTCATTATCAAGGTCTGATTAGTCAAAATTGTGTTGCTGGAATCTACTTAAAGTAATAAATCTGCTTTGGGGTTGCAACAGTCTTGACCCCATGTAGTGGAGAGTTCCTCTACAGGATGGGCTTGCAAGTGGGCATTTGGCCTTTTTGCAACATTTCTTAAATGATATGTGCTATATTTCATCTGAAAGTAGACAGTCTCTGCATTTCAGAATTGGTCTAACTTTGACCTGACTCCAAGTATTTATCAAATTATGATTGCTTGAAATTAATCGAAACTCACACATGTTTAATCTATTTATTTTTTTGGTTGATCAGTTCTGGAGAACTGCATTTCATTTTTTGCTTCTTTTTGCAAGGAAATTCATTGGAATCCTGTTGAAGTGATAGACAAGTTGAACTTAACACTCTTTTTAAAAAAATAACCTACATCATGTAGATTTTGAGGACTTATAACACAAAATTCAATCAAATTATACAATTTTTTTCTATATTTTGCTTGCATTTTTGTCTTTGACTCCTCCCCTATCTTTGCATAATGCTAACAAAAAATGCTCAACACAAAATTTTTCTCCTTTTTGATACAAGTTCCCAAATATTAAAACGATTTAAATCTGCAAAACGTAAGAAAATTGTTCTTGGGTAAAAAGTTAATATATACTCAATTCCTTTCATATGTTAAATTGATCATTACCCACTTTTGGCACCATAAGGAAAGCATTAAATATTGATTTTTAACGTAACTGTCCTTATATTTATCAGAAAATCATGATCTAAACCTATATTCCTATGCATATTGGTGCACTGAATCCATTTTTGTCACTGAAAGGCCCCACCAAAAGAAGTCCAAACAAGTGAATTGCAAAATTTATATTCTTTTTGAAAATTTTGGTTCATTAATGTAGATCAGCATTTCTAGATGTAAACCCCTATATTTTAATTAGATTTGTGAAAGTTATATTGTAATCTTCTTCTCAGATACAAATAACATTACTATAGTTTCATAATTAAGTTGAAAATCATTCAGGGCGTTCAGCAACCACAAATACCTATTGTGTGTGCCCATTGTGTTCTGTAGACAAGTGTGTATCCTAGATGTTCTACATTAGTATAAAGTTGGGAATCTAGATTGTTAAAAAATCCACGTGTGTACAACAGCCAAGGAAGAATAAACCCAACAAATAATGGCCCAAATATTCTCTTGCACAAAACATTGCAAGCTTATTTTTCTCTTCAGGTAAAAAATCCTTAGAGGCCGTTTTCCATTGTACTGCACTGTATAAGAAAAGACAATCTGAGAGAGCTTGTTGGATACAAGCAATGGAAAAAAGTTTCCTTAACTTTCACAGTATTTTCTTAACAAGAGCTGTAAACTAGATTACAAGTGATTTTAAGTATAAACTGGAATTTATTCTTTATCCTTTGCGGCCATCATGTCAAGGGGAGGTAATTTTATCTGAGAGATTAAACTTCATTTGTATTGCTAATTGTCATGTCAAGGGGAGATAATAATGTCAGACAATATATATCTTAGAGTTATCATTTACTATAATAACCTATAGTCATGGCCAATATAAGGATTCCTCCAAGAAAAAAAAGAATTCGAATGAATTCTTGTCTCCTTTGAGAGATTGCATTTTCAACACCACTAAAAAACATTAAATTCTTACATTGGTCACACAAGCACTACATTTTCTTGTAGGTTGGCTGGTGTAGCAAATGAGTCGACTTCAACAGTGTAAGGGACGCAACTCTTTCCATCTGAAAATGTCTGACACGCTGCAACGCAAAGCCGTGTACACCAAACACGGGTGTAATGCCGTTCTGCCAATTTCTCCAAGCAACCTGCTTTTATGGAGCCCAGACACACCTCATTAGTATGTGTGTAACGCAACTTTGCGTGACTGCACGAGACCGTGAATATTAAAAGTCACGGACGCCATCTTGGATCTTTTCTTTCCTTTCTCAACCCACAGGCCAGGCAGACGCGAGGGCGTTTGTGAGGTAAACCATTTCTATTTTCCCCACACTCCCCCCTGATCTCATGATCACAGAGTTGACAGGGAGGCGGCGATCGCTTTCGCCGGGTGCTTCTTCGAAGAGGGACGCTGCGAGCCTCATCGTTGCTTGCGCTCCTGTCCGAGGTCTGAGGGTCAAAAAACACCGTGTCCCTTGGAAGGCTACTGCCTGATGGAGCTGGCGTGAACCAGAGCGATGCCTCACTGGTCTCAGATTCCGATTCGCTCTCATCGTCCAGCGGTGGTTGCAACTGCGTCGCCGGACGCAGGTCCCAACGTGACGGGGCACACCGTCGACCCGTACGCCTGTGGGCTGATCACCTCAGTGACGCGTCCGGTTCCGTATTTCGTTGTGCAGTTGCTGTGCGGGTTTTAATCCAGACGATATCGCCTTTCTTCAGCCTCTCTCGGTTACTTTCAGTTCCGTCAGCGGGTTGGTCTATGCCCTTCACTCTGACGTGGTACCTATGCAATGTGTCTGCTGGCGCCGTAGAGGTGAGACATCATCCTTCGGGTCACGTTGTATAAGTAGACCGCCTCAGACACCGCGCAGCCGTCCCTGGCTGTGATGGTCTTGACGGTCCTGTGGTTCCGCTCGATGATTCCATTTCCACTTTCGGGAAACCGTGGGTGCACTCCCCAGCCATCTGCAAACCTCCAATTGCTCGCTGGGTGAATGCGGTGCCATTGTCAGTTAATATCTCCGTTGGGGGCCACGTTCAAGGAAGATACTGTTTAACTGACGGATGATAGTGGCTGCATCTTGCCGACACAGTAGCCGCCATATCGCAAAACCTGGATGGACCGCAATCAATTAGTGTCAGGAAATCCTCGCCGTTGTGGTGAGTAACATCTATCGCCAGCCGGCTCCAGTGGCTCCTTACGCTCAGCTGCCCTTTCTTCCAGCAAACGGGTGCTGGGTCTATAGACTGGCATGCCACGCAGCTTCTGACCACTCTCCTGACGTCTGTCTTTTGTACTCCTGGGTCAACCAACTTGGCGAAATTCAGTGTCCGCTTGACTCCACGGTGCCCGCTTTGTTGGTGGACTTCTTTGATTCGATTAAATCGAACGGGACTCACGGACGCAGCGCAGACGGGTTGCACGGGCTCAATAGCTTTCTTAGCAGCGTCAAGCCACCTTTGGGGCACCCTCGTTAAACAATCTGCTTTGTTGAGGCTAGATTTGACCAGGGACACCTCCATTGTCAGTGCGTATTCTTGCACTAGCTTCACGATCGTGTCGAGCCGTCGCCGGATAAGCATCTCGCTGGTGGCTTTAGTCCGCACCCTGGCCCTCCCGGTCAGGGTATCAGAGATCCACTTATAAACGCAAGCGGAATCGGTGAACAGACGCAGGGTGGTCAACTTCCAGAGGATCGCCAAGTTGATCCCCTTGATGACAGCATCGAGTTCCGCTAGGTTTATGTGTTGGGAGTCCCTTTTTGACGTAACCAGCAAGCATCTTCCACCACGGCTCCATCATGAACTATCGACACGCCGGTTGCAAGAGAGCTTGCGCCAACCCACACACCGAGGTCTTGGCTGTCAATGCACCATCTGCCCCGCTGGGTCTTCCTTGTGTACTCTAGCGAGGACCTCCCTCATCATGGTGTTGAGAGGGGCGTCGTGAACTTCGTCATCCCATCCAGTGGTGACGTCAGATGCTCTCCGCTTGATAAACGCCACCGCAACACGCAGCCAGCCACCTACAGGAAGGTGCCCAACTAACTTGCCGCACAAGGAAAATATGCTTCGTCGCGTGACAACGTGGGGGGGGGCATGTCTGGGAGTTCGTTTCCCCGTTTCCAATACAGAACATCATCTTCTCCCCAGACCTGCAAACCAAGCACCCGTGCACCATCCTGTAGCCTCTCCGGTTCCTTGCTGAGGAGGCCAAAGTTGTAGAGATGCTCCTTCATGCGCGCCTCAGATATGACTCCTTCGTTCACGTACACGTCATCAATATATGCAGATGTTGCCCGCTGTATGCGCTCATCCTTCGTCAGAATGGCGTCAACAATCATCTGCATAATCGATGGCGCCACATTGAGTCCAAACCCCATGCGGGTCAGGCAATACCTTTGCCCCTTGATAAGCACAGTTTGATAGGGCCACAGTGATTGGTGCACACGCACTTGAAGGTATGCCTTGCGAAGATCCAGCGCAGATACATTTGATCCTGCTTGTCGCCATTCCCTTAGCTTCTCGGTACACACGTCCGCGCGGGCTGTAAAAGGGTCCACGTGCTCGTTCAGTTCCCGATAGTCGAGCACCGGCCTCACCTTTTGTTTGTTGTGCTGGAGAACTGCCATTAGCGGGATCAGGCCCTTCAGGGCCCCAATTCCTTCTCTGGATAAGGAACCAACCATCCGTTATTAATCCAGGCTCGCAACTCCTTGTCGTATTCCCGGCGAGCTCACAGGGGGATTTTATACTCCGGCACACTGTTGTACAGCTTCTCTGGCGGTTGATCGTCTGACCATTTCCAAGATACCGTCCAGGACTTTGTGCGCTGGTCGAACTCCGCACGAAAGTCAGGCCGTTCCAGCTCCATTGCTGCACCTAGAGCGAGACCTGTCTCAGTGAAACGCGCCCGACCCTCTTCGTCAACATGGACACCACCCAATTTTTTGATGACGTCCATTCCCAGGAGCAGATCATAGCCGAGCAGCCCTCCGTCCACGACCAGGGCTTGTACAGCTACTGCAGGCCCATCGCCGATGCTTGCGCGGATGACGCTCACTCCACAAGAGGTTAGCGAGCCCCCGCCAACAGTCAGAACTGGAATATTTTTCTCGTCCCACGTGTCACAACATGCCTTGCGCACAAGGGTCTGGATGCACCCGGTGTCAACAAGCGCGAAGCGCTCACGCCCGTTAATCCGCACGCTCACTGCGGGTAGTGCTTTGTTCAG